TGAGAACCCACACACCCCTTCACAAGGACCAAAAACCAAAATTTAAGTCTAGGGTCTATGGCCATATGTAACAGACTAAAACTGACAATATTGGCTAGTAGTTGGAGAGAGGAACAAAACATAAGGGTCCAGGAAACTCTCTCTTATAGTCGAGTTTTAAAACTGTGAGGTTGATGGCCATACGTTATGGGCCAAAACGAACAACGTATGCTAGCAGTGGGCTTGGACTGTTACAAATATATTAGAACTAGTAATTAGGCGGTGTGCCAGCGATGATATTTGGCCCCTAAAAGGGGTGGATTGTGAGACCCCACACCCATTGGAGATGGGATGAAACATTTCTTACAAGGGTCTGGAAACCTCTCTCTAGTAGACACGGTTTAAGGTTTAAGAGCGTGAAGCTGACGGTGATATGTAACGTACGAAAGCAGACAATAAATACTAGTGGTGGGCTTGGACTATAATAAATGATTGGTTGGAATAGCTTAGTTGGTTAGAGCATATGGTGGCTTATCGACTCAAAAATTTGTTAGAGCTCAGGTTGCACAATTCACACTATTCCTTCCATTTTTTACCCGGACGTTCTAATAGGAAACAACTCTTGACGATACTTGGAGCAACTTCGAGGGACAAAATTCAAACGTACTCGATTTTAGGGAGAACTCTGGCGAAGACTTGTCTTATGTATAATGACACATGCCTAGTGGCCATTGCATATGTCATTTATGAACATTATATCTTGGTGTGATGATTTTATATGATGATGCGATGATGTAAATGATATGATGACATGATGATTATGCATGATAACACAACGTATGAAAATCAGTACATGCATGTTACCAAGGGTAATGTGTGAATGATGTATAGAGTTGTGTCTTAAGAATGATTTAAAGATGAAAATTATAGGAAAACTATCGGGACCTCATGCATATTGAGTTCATATGCATGAGGTTACTTTCCCATTTATGATGATGAGTACGAACGCGTACACTATGATAATGATCATCATCATGTCTCGCATGATACTCGAGGGTTTGTTGATCATCGGACGTCCAGCTACGGACAACTAGCCGAACTATGATGGGTCCAGGGGGTGCAAACCGCCTGGGGACTCACGCTCGTACGTGTGTGTCGTGTGTAGGGAAGTACTACACATCCAATTTTGTCTAAACAATTTGATCCTGAGCAATTTCGGTTTAGGGCGTTCACTCACTGTTCTTTATGTTTTTCTTTCAAATATTCTCCACTCATACTATCGAGACCTCATGCATATTGTGTTCATATGCATGAGGTTACTTTCCCATTTATGATGATGAGTACGAACACGTGCACTATGATGATGATCATCATCATGTCTCACATGATACTCGGGAGTTTGTTGACCACCGGACGTCCAGCTACGGACAACTAGCTGAACTATGATGGGCCCAGGGGGTGCAAACCGCCTGGGGACTCACACTCGCACGTGTGTGTCGTGTGTAGGGAAGTATTACACATCCAATTTAGTCTAAACAATTTGATCCGGAGCAATTTCGGTTTAGGGCGTTCACTCACTGTTCTTTATGTTTTTCTTTCAAATATTCTCCACTCATACTTGGTACATATAGAAATCCAAGCGATTCTTTCACGTATTTCTTAAGAAAAGTTCAAGGTGTTTACTAATCTCGTCTTCGACATTTGGGATCTCCGTTCTCAAGCTTTTGGTATCCGAATTATTCCAAATTTTCTTTATTAGATTCATCTTTGAGTCTAGTTTAAGAACCATAAAAAATTTCATGAAAAAAGGTCTAGAAGATATCCAAATTGATCAAAAATTGTAGAAAGATCAACATATTGCTACCTTTAACTATTATTGGTCAAAGTTTGACCTTTTGCCCTTGTACAGCTCTATATAAACCTCAAATGGACTCGATTCCTCACAAACATTTAATTGAAGTTTCAAAGGAGAGATAGAGACCAATTTTATACTCTTTTGTGGTTTGTAACTAGAGTTATAACTTTCCAAAATTCGTCAAAAAAACATGTTCCTCAACGAAATAACTCAGAAAAATTTTTGTTCGTCAGCCGATTCTAAAGCTTTTCAGAACCCGATTTCTTCACGAAACTTGATGGAAATCCCATATAAAACGTGTAGGAGTTGATAGGAAGGAAAATGACTAACCGTAGACCTCGAATTTAGAAGAAAACCGAGGAAGAAAAAGCCATAATCTAAAATCTTCAAACTCGAGTTTTAGGAATTTTCATCACTCGATTATTGTCTTAAACCATTGTTCTAAAATTGTCGTGAATTTTCTCAATTTTTATTTTACACTCTCTCGACTTCAGGTAAAAAATATCTACTCCGATGAGGGTGCTACCAACATCAGTTTGAAATTCCAACCGTTGGATCTAAAGAACATCACGTCTTCTTAACGGCTCTAGAATCCAAATTTGCTTGCAGATTTTCTTCGAATAACAGTTTCATACTTAAAAGTGAATTACAAAAGGGCATTTTGGTAATTTTTTAATATTTTATTATTATTTTTCTCATAACTCTAAATATTTTCTAAAATTCTTCATTCTTTTTCTGGTTATTTTTCTCCTCTTCGTAATCTTGAATTCCTTCTGGATAAGGAATTATAAATCCATTCGCTTACTTTTTCTTTTTCAATTCTTTTCCAAAGGCCTTTTAACTCCTTTAATTATTTGTTGGGGCTGTAAAATAACTTGCTGAAGACACTTTTACTTGTTTAAACCCCTTAATACTTTTTCTGGGATCTTTTGAGTCTTACAATTGAAGCCCAAAAGAAAAACACTTGTTGAAGGAGTAGGAAAGGAAATAGAGAAGTTGGGGCGAGGAAGGAGGGGAGAAAGAGATAAGAAGAAGAAGAAAATAGTGCGAGTAAACGTTGGCATAGTTTCTATTAGGTCGCTCTTCTTTTACTCATTGATACGATAGACCATGGAACGTAAAAATATCTCTAAACGTACAAACGTTTTGACGCTTGTCAATTTCCTAAGCAAAAATTGGTAAATCAAGGTTGAAACTAAAAACGAAACTAGATTTGAGAACCAAAAAAAAAAAAAAC